TACAAATTGACTGGCCTATTGATACGGGAAGCTGGCTCTCCCACAGCCATATGCTATATAAACAGAGGGAACACACCATTTTTCTTAGCAGTCAAACTCTCATTAATATCCTCCATTTTTTCCAAACAAGATCAGAAGGAACAAAATGGTTAAAGATATTATAAAATGCCAATTGTTTAAGCAAACAAGCCCATCCTGGTATTGTCTACGATTAATTCTTAGAGAATGTGAGATGATGCACTGATCCAAGTGTCTCACAGCTCAGCGGATAGCTGCCTGCCTCACTGAACACACAATTAAAGCTGTTGACAGTTCTAAGGAACTTCCCAGAATTTGCTGTTAACAAATAGCTGAGACATAAAACTACCAAGTCTTTCCTCTTAGTCCCTTGTGCTCTGCCACTGCCTTGGAAACAGCAGTATGATTCAGGTCACAGCAGAGAAGCCTTCACTCAAGGCAACTACAGATGAGTGGCTTCCAAAAGAAAAAGCTGTCCAACCACAGGACTGAGCTGTCTGCTTGCAGCACCTACCCACATCACCAAAGGGCAAGAAGGAGCCCTGCTGAAGGATAGGAATGAGCCTTCCACCACTGCCTACTCCAGAAGCATGAAATCACTGCCAGTGGAGATCTGGGGAAACATTAAATGGTTACAGCACACACATTCCTTGTGATCAACCAGAGAAGCATTGTAAGTAACCAAAATAGATGTACAGATGCTACTTATGTGATCAGAACACAGGCAGGCAGAGCTGCAGAAAATCCACTCAGCCAACATCAGGCAGCTCCTGCTATCCCTGAACATTCCCCTATCCGGTATAATTGAGTACACTTAAACACAGACACAAATAGTTTAATATCCAAACAAACATCTGTATTTATAGCAGTACCCCATCTAACACGTACACAGAGTAAGAGCAGCCAGATCGAGACAGCTGGTTGTCAACATAAAAATCTATTCAGTGTTTATCCCACTACCCATGACTAAGCATGACTGTAAGAGAAAAAAAGTACTCTTGTGTTTTGATGAAGATATAACCCCATCTTGGGATACTTTGACTCAGTGAGTAGCAATGTCTTAAGAGTACTGTGGTCAACTGAATTTCCCCTTCCTAAACTAAAGGTTAAATAAGCTGGGAGAAACAGACAGGGAGACATAAAACACTTTTTATAAAACCGCATTCCTCGCTCTGGAGCACAACGGACAGCACTCAGAAGCTGCTGATGCAGTATCTGTATTGCAGGTTGCTGGCTCATTCTGTACGTTCTCAGAAAAGTTTCAGTGTGGAGCTGAAATTAACACTGCTTGTGAGCAGGCATGTCATGGAACCGCACACTTTGCTGGGTGCTGAAATTAGGACCAGTTTGTTGTGATAACTTCAGAGGACAATAATAAATTCCCCTATTTTCCATTGAATACACTTGTCTGTCTTTTCCTTCCAAGCATGCTTTATTTGCACATCCCACTTAAAACCTCATTTTCTCAGGGAATCTGATCCCCCCTCTTATCTGAAACAAATAAATCTCCTGTTTCTATAGCAATGCCTGATCACATAGTGGCAGGTCAAGGCTTCAGTTAGCATTCTACTAGATAACACATCTCTTCTAGCCTTTTACAAACATCCATAAATACTCACCAGTGTCTATAACTCGCTTGATGTCACCCTCATTAGATGAATAGACAGATTTTGTTCCTTACGACATCCCTTCATATCCTTGACTGAGTTCTTAGAGTTCACTGGGCTAAGGATCCCGCGTGTTTATTCTGGAAGCTATTTCATCTCTGCAATACTTTACCTTAGACTGACGATCCTCACCATAAGCCCGAACACTTTTGAAAGTGTCTATCCTGCTTGTAAATCATAAGGAAGGTTCAGTAAAATGGCTTAAGACTTCCAAGAAGAAAAAAAGGAACATTAGCTACATCACAAGAAAATTCACAGAACTGTTGGGTAGAAAAACAGACAAACACTTTTAGTCAGTAAGCTAACACTCTGCTATTTCTGTCCTTGCTATTTAAGCCTCTTCTTTCATCATCAGTTGTGAAGCTGTAACTTATCGCCAATACTTTTCAAAATGATTGTAGGTATTCTGCATGTTTTCTCCAAGGGAAAAATGTTCTCATTTCCTTCCCCAAGCAACAGACAGAAAAAAAAAATATGGAGTGCCAAGACAGGAAATTCAATCCAATCTGACACATAACAAGTAGAAATGAGGGTATGGAGAAAGGATAACAACTCAAGTTGTGTTGATGTTAACGTGAAATATTTATCTATCTACAGACAGATACATGTCAGACTCTGGATTACGTGTTTCCCTCAAACCAACATCTATTAACATGCTTGCAAGAAAGAAGAAAACCTCTAACATTGTAAACTGCTGCTGGTTGAGTTTTTTCCAGTTACTTCTGTGAGGGAAAAAAAAGAAAGAAAAAACAACCCACCATGTTTTAGCCACGACACTTTGGCTTGATCCTTCCTTATCTGCTGTGGGATGCACTCCTCCCTTCACAAACAGTACAGTCTGAGTAGCAGTTTATTTTAAGCTGAAAAACAAGACTGGAAGATGACAAGCTCACACAGTTTAAATACAGTTACCTTATTCCATACTTGTAAACAAAACTTGATGCTGCTGGCATTACATACAACCAGCACCAGCACTGGACTTACAGCAATAGTAGGTTGCACATCTCACAATACAGCCCTCAGCCAACCAAGCAGGACAACTTCCCAAACCTGAGCACTGTGTACAAGTGTCTGGAACACCCAAACGAAAGATGCTGATTACTGCCGTTGCCAAAAACTTTTTATGTGCTTTACATATGAGAATGAGAGTGGTCCTTGAGTGTCCATGCAAAATTAAAAAAAAAAAAGATTTACTGTAGAGCTCAACAACGAATCCTATTCTAAGAGCCCGTTCTGTACAGAATTTGTATCATACACCTTTACACTGACAAAGAAGGAAAAAACCCACCAGATAACTGACAAATCATCACACGAGGATTAGCGTGTCTTTTCCAGTTACATTATGAAGGGTTACGAGAACAGAATAGCATGAAAACACAAGAAGTTAATTCAGTCATAGGATGGAAAAAAGAGGGTGTGATAGTTGATACTTTCACTGTTTTTTAGGATTTTATTTATGTTTCATTTACAATGTATGAAGAATACAGTGTATGTATGATTCCATGGCTATCAGTAACTGCAGGAATGCTGCTCTTTCCCAGAAAATTTCCTCATAACTCAAAAGACATGAGGTTACTTTTGTTCGTAAGCTGGCCCTCCAGTCTCTCATTTCTTCACAAAATAATGGAGAAAACAAAGCAACAAATAAAAACTTTCTAGTTAAGTTTCCACTTTAAAAACTCTGGTTTTTTTTCCCCTCAAGTATCAGTCCATTACAGTTCTGAAACCATAAAAACTCCTTTAGAAAAAAAAATGTTAAGAAAGTCTTGTGAAAAGATTTTTATTTTTTTTTAATTTTTTTATTTTTTTGCCAAATTCTGTCTGAGAATGATTTCAGCAGGGATTTACTTAATTTTATGTCATTTTCTCAACTACTTAAGCTTATATAATTCATCTGAATGCCCAAGAGTTTTAAAGCAATTAAAGATACAAGCTAGCAGTCAACACTTGTTTCAGCTTTTCTGTAAGTCTTTCATGTCCAGACAAGCACTAAAAAAACCCCAGCTCAAGTGAAAGGGCATCACTAGGCAACACGAGGTGTTAGTCACATTGCTCTCCACAAGCACTTCCAAGTCAAGCCACAGGCAAGTGTCTCAGTGTTACAACAGCACAGCTAAATTTCACAAATCTAATATGTAAAACTTCTTATAACTCACACTAAAAGAACATTTATCAGAAACAGAATCTTCTCCTCCTTTCCATGTAACGATCTCTATGCATTCAGTAACACTCAGCTCGACCACCAGCATAAAGCTGTTGGAGAAAAGCTCTCACTAGAATGGGCTGACACCATGGGCTCCTATGCCCACTGGCTGAGAAATAAATACCTATGACTTCATTGGAAAGTCACCATCTCATGTTTAACACATTCCTGCGGCTGCAGCTTCACATCTGAGCCGAGTTAAAACTTGCTGCCACACACAGAACTGTCCTGTCCTACCCCTTGCCCCACCTCCAGTCACAACCGACACAATGTGCCAGCTGAGGCACCTACACCAGTAGAAAACTATCAACTCCTTTCTACCAGGTCACGTTAAGTTCTCAAAAAACAGTTAAGTAAGTGCTCACACCTCTGCTAAAGAGAGCATCCTTCCTTCCGCCACGTCCCCTGATGTCCTCATGACCACGCCAACTGACTGCGCTGGCTGCCATGCTCACATGGCTGATGAGGTAGTTCTGTCGGCCCATCTGGCACAACACTCCAGCACAGCAGAAAATTAGTGTCCTGGGCGTTTAGCAAATTCACGTATTGCCAAACCTGCTGCCGGGAAGAGAGAAGGACTGCATGGGCAGCTGCACCCTTCTGAGGGCAGCCCACAATCCATCAGGCTTGCTGTAGCATGAAAACTGCGTCAACTTGCATGGCTAAGATGGAAGAAAATGCTACTCAGTGCTAAAAGGAAAACTCCAGTTCAGCAATTGGCAAGTATACGGTTGAACAACAGACCTGAAACAACAAAACTATATAGCTAGGAACACCTTTCAGTGATGGTTTCAAGACAACTTACCCTACACTCTAACGCTCAGCTCATTGTCAGCTCTTCAGATTTTTATTTTTGGAAATTATTCAAATCATAACCTTTCTGGAAGAAGTACTCTGCAAGTCTGTACAAAAGTAAATACAGTTCATCTACTTGTTCTTCTCCTTACACATTTTAGTTTCAGCTTGAGATTTCTGATTTGGGTAAGAAAAAACAATTCCAAGTAATTCTCACATACTTGGAGGCTGGGAAAAGGGAGAAGAAAAAAACTGTCTGAGTGAAACAAAGCTGTACATCACACTCCCAAGCAACAAATACTGTGGCTAAGACAAAGTTCATTCAAGCGACTTTTAATTAAAAGGTGATTGTTAAACCAATTTAGGCTGAGAAAACACTTTCTAAAATTCCATGTTTTAATAAGACTTTAAAAGAGCAATTTACAAAGGAAGACAGCAGAAAAAAACCCACTACTTTTAATCTTTTAAATCCACAAAAGCCTCATTTTTGGAAGGTAAAGCAGCCCACTTACTAAGCAAAGGCTTAGTCAGCATCGAACCTTCTGATATGCTTCAGATATGCTTCAATTAAACTGACATTAAGCAATACATCAGCAGTGAAATGGTGGTGTGCTTCCATACACTTTGCATTGCTGCTTAGGAGGTACCTGGGAGACTTTGACAAGAAAGTCTAGCATCCACACAGCACAAGAAACAACTCCCTTTTTCTACAGCTGGCTTCTTCCTGAGCAGGTTACAACAGAAAAGCAGGTAACCATGTGTGAGGAGCCAGACTCCCAGCAGAGGTCTAACCTAAGAGGATTTCAGGGTCAAAATCTGAGCAGATGGAGAAAGGTTTTATCTGCACAGGGAAGAGAGGCAGAAACTCTTAGAAACAATTACAAAAGAAAAACAAGAACAGTTTCTCAGGCACTCAGACTTCAGAGTAGACATTTTTCACTTTGTTTTCATATTTGCAAGTGTCTGCACCGCAGTCAGCTGCTGAGCAGAATATATTAACGTGCGCAGAGCTCTGTGCTCTGCAGCTAGAATGCTTCCCACACCTTCCAGGCAGGAAAAATGGAGGTAGTTTACTTCAGCAAACTGTTTGCCTAATTACACATTTCAAAGGCAAGACAGCCAGGTTAAAAGCTGTAACTCAACAGTTTTTATAGAAAAGCATAATTCATCTGGGCAGGAGAAAGATAAGTAACATTCATTCTTACATAACTGTTAGCTACTTTATCTTACGAAACATCAATCCACACAGCAAACTTTCCATAGCACCACTCAATGCATTTAAAGAGGCATTAAGCTATGCTTTCTGCTTGCTTCCTGCTGTCTCTATGAAGTTGCAAGCTTTCTAGGACTGTCAAAAGCCAGTTAAAAAACAACACAGATAACATGGAAATGCTATCTCACCAACAAGGGAAACTACACATGGGAAACATAATCTTAAAGAGTGGAAAAGATGAGACATTTCTTGTAGCCTCTCATTTTGCAATGCTATTTGCATAATCAAATAAGGTGTTTAAAAATAGCATTAAAGCAGCAATGATTCTGTCCACAATATTCTCCTCCATCGTCTTTTCAGCCAACCAGTAACAACAGGAAAATGCATCATAAGGCTTGTATGAGGTTACAAAATGGTATTACTAGGATATGTATGAGTGCAGTTCACTGCAGTTGTTCAAGAAGTCTTTCATGACCTTGCAGAAATTCATTAGTTTTCTATAAACAAGTGCTTCTATTCTGACATTTACATCGCTAATGTGACTGTTATTAATGCTAACACTCAGAGACGTGGATTTTTGTTCGATTTGTGGAAAAATAAACATCTTACGTGGTTGGTTCACTATTCTAACTACAGAAACTTCACAGTTTACTCAGAGTAGACATGATAAGAAATACATTCAGTCAAAAATATCAAAATATAACAGCATAGTAATGCATGTAGTATGTCCACAGCCAGCAGAAAATAAGGAAAGCGAGGAAAAAACAGTATGGTGCTGTAGCACTCATGTGTTACTCCAAATCTTCTGTACAAATGGTAACCTTCACCTCCATAACCTCTGGGAAAACTTACAATTTAAGCATTCTATATGAAGGTTATGATTTCTTCTAATAAACTCAGTAAGACCACCAATTTATTCACTTTTATTCAGTTGTACAACCAGTTTGTACTACAGTTTTCAAAACTGAAATGCACTGTACAAGATTTAAAACCTGGTGCTGTGATGATCCCCATTGCAGCTGCTGCTGCAGTAAGATAAGATGTAAAAATATGAGAAAGTAAAAAAGAAAGAAACCAACTTTTATTCACACCAGAAACACAAATTTCAATGGAATTTTCCTTTATCAAAATAACCCCAATATGGCTACTTACATCTTTGTTGTAAGAGAACTGTACAATTTATATATAAATATGTATATATAAAATCAACTTTAGTGCTCCCTCAATGTTAATCATCATCATCTTCCTCTTCATCACTGATGACATACTTCTTATGCTTCTTACTCGCTTTGTCATCATCCTCTGCTTTTCTCTTTCCAGAAGGCTCCCCTTCCTTAAGGCAAGAAAGGACAAAAATTTAAAAAATATTCAAGCTAAAATAAAAAACAGCCTCAGAACAACAACAAAAAGGATTTTTTTGAAGGAAAAGCAAAATCATTTGTTCTAGTCTTTCCACCTCATGCCTCTGTAGTGCTGCACTTCATTGGTCAGCATTGGTTCCAGTCTCAGACCCCAAACCAAGAGGGTCCACAATACAGCTGCACCTCCATTTACCTCAGTGGGAATGCATCAACACCTGCTTCAAAATTAACTACTGTGTAAGAGTAATTTATCTCCCAGTCTAGGTTTATGGAGTGTGTAATATCACTATCAGCAGTTATGAATTAAGGAGATAAGCTTACCATTTCCCTCAGATTCCTAACACTGGGGTTCTACATGGGGTTCATATGCTCTTCGAAAAGAAGTGCTATTTATACAGTGACAAAAGCCTGCAACTCTTATGGTATGGATAATTCCTAGAATTCGTAGGGAAATTTTCAACACGGAGAAGCTTTCTGTTCAGACAATCTGGACAGCTTTGCTCAGTTGTCAGACTACTGATACTTGCAAACCTTAAGCTAGAGCTACTGAGAGAAAAACAACACAAAAAAGACATGAATTGGCAGGTGTTTTTGTCTGCCACATTCTGGCATAAAGGAAAAAGACTGATAAGGAACCACCAGCACTAAGAAACAATCCCACAGCTTACAGTCCTAGAAATACAGCGTAGGAGGCTTCAAAGGGCTGGTCATGGGAACTCCAATCAGTGCAACTTCAGTTACTGGGAGGAATTCACAAAGAACTTGACACGAGCCGATCACCTGAGATAACTTACAGCCTGTTTTGTTGGGTTTTCTGCTGTTAAAGCACCTCACACCATTCAATTCAAATGCTAAAATATAGACTCTAATGCATGAAGCAAACCAAAATCTTGTGTTTTCCCACAGATCATAGAATCATAGAATGGCCTGGATTGAAAAGGACCTTAAGGATCATCTAGTTTCACCCCCTTGCTGTGGGCAGGGTTGCCAACTGCTAGACCAGATAAAATAGAATACTTGTCAATCTCTTTTATTACATCTTAAAACTCGAAGAAAAACGTCTAACTTGGTGACACAAGTCTTGTCTTTGTTGTAAAAACAACCCTAATAGCAAAAACAGGTGAGTGGTTCACAATGCAGAGATCTAGAAGAAATACTGAAATTATGTAGAAAACTATTTGGGAACTAAAGAACAGGCAAAAACCCAGATTCTGATTAACCAAGTGGCCTACAGCACAGGCCCAAGTTGCTTCAGGTTACCTTATCAATATGTAGAGTTCAACTTCTTTTTTTTCCTGTCACACTATTTCTAGATAATCTCCTGTTTGTAACAACACTGCAATGACTTTTTGCAGGCTGGATGACCAATTCCTAGCACTTAAATACAGAGCCAACAGTTTGATTGTCAATCTAAACACATTTACACCAGTTCAGTTTAAATCAGCCTTCTAGGCACCACTTCAATCCAAAGTGTTCTGAAGATACTTGGTCACACTACAGATCATTAATTGCTAATGCAAAGCTCATCAATTTGGACACAAAGGATGAGTGGCAACTCAATTACAGTTTAAAAAGAAGAGTAACTTTGCTAACACCCTCAGGCATAAGTAACCTAATCTCCTCTTCCATTAGTTAATTTTGTTTATTAAGAGCAATGCACACATTAATTGGATTTTAAGAAGCAGCAAGAGACAACACAGCCTTTCTAATTACTTATTATTCAAAACATTTGGTTTTATATTAATGTTGAATTAGAATGGTGAGAATCTGAATTAGGAAGGAAATTTAAGCATGGAAAACAACTTAGTATGGGTGGGAATCTCAATCACAGCTACTTCCTCGGAACATTTATTCTCTTATAATTTAGCTGGGCTACTGTTAAGGACTCTCCTTCCTACGTGCAGAATATCCTCATTAATTACAGTAACTTGCCACATGGTGATAAAGGTATCAATAACAGACTGAAGTTTTCAGCATTGCCAACCCACTGCTAGCAGGACAAAGATCTGGTCTGTGCCGTTGACTGACAGCACACAAAAGCAAGTCCAGTGCTTTGTAAATACAGATACTGTGCTTTCGGTGAGCATGCAGGAAGTAAGTTGTGCACTACTGGCTGGGTTCCACAAAGTAGAGCTGCAGCACCCCTCTGTGGTTCTGACAGGAATACTGCCTTTACAGCGGGCAACTGTAAAATGGAGGCTACCATTCTCAACCAGCAGAGAAACACAGTTAACAAAGCCTTTCTTCTGAGAGACTAGAATTGCAAAATCCCAACGTTGCTATACTGCAAACTAACAGCTAGCAGTGTCTTGTCCATAGCACCAACAGAGCTCTCAAAATTACAGTTTGGTCTAGCATGCTACATGTCACTAAAGAAAAGCGACTGAAAAATCTAGGACAAGAGCTGAGATAATTTCAACAGTTAAAGTAATCTCTTAAGGGAAATGGTGATATAAAACCAAAGTTGAACAAAGCATTGAAAAGCATTCCATGAATTAATACTGACCTACCCAAACTTCTGTTTTTAAACTTCTGTACGTTATTCCACACATAAACATTTAATTAAATAAAATATAATTTACAGTGAAACAGGATTGGAAGATGAATCAAACCTGCATGCCAGCACAAAAACACCTCTTGTAACCTACAAGGTAGTAGGCAGTAAGAATCTAAGCTTAGGAGACGACACTGCAGTAGGGACCTGGTATTATTTTTCCTCTCTATGTGATTCTGTTGAAGTCACTTTACTCTGCACAGCACCTGCTTTTCTGTGCAATCAGCTGTAACAATAAGGATCTCCTTTAGGTATCACTCAAATCTGTGAACTAATGCAGTAAATAAGAAATAGGCACGATTAATTAATCAGCATGCCAACACAAATGTTATGCTAATCACTACAAAAACGTCAGCTTTACAAACTGTACTAAGTGCATGTTCCTGGCTGAAAATGAGTAGCTATTAAAGAACAAAGTCATCTTTTACCTCATCACTCGTCAGTTTCTTCGCCTTGAGTAGTCTTTGTGTTTTATCCTCATCTGAGCCTTCATCACTGTCTGAAGAGTAGATTCTAGCTCGTTCCTCTGCAGAGAAAAATGAAAAGATAAATATTTATCTGAAATTGCTGAGAAAAAGACGGTATGAAAAATACTGCTTGTACATTTAGTCCCACAATAATCAGACAGAATCTAATCTAAATATTATTAAATGAAATAAACTTGCACGAACTGAACTCTCATCTCCTCATGTATCAAATTAAGTGGCAAAATATGATCTTATCAAGATTCTCCCGTGATACAAATCCACCTGAATTACAAAGGCCCTACCTTAACTACTGGTAAGGTTTATTATTACCTCTGATGCCACCTTTGTATCTGTTTTTGATAGCTGCTAGACTGATTGCATCATCTCCCTCATCCTCTTCTTCGTAGCGATCGGGTTCTAAGTAATTTGCACTCAGACCACGCTGATGCTGCTTCTCCCTCATTCTTCGCTGCTGAGATTCTCTGCGAATGGAAGCTCTTAATCTCTCCTCTTCTTTCTGTCCAAAGAAAGCAGCAAAGGATGAGTCAAACATAATAAAAATCTCAGTACTCTGCTGTAGCTTTTGAAATCCTCTCACAGCAGTGGAAAGAGTGCATATAATTCTGTTTTTTTTGTGGTAATCTGTAAGATTAAGCAATTTCTAACAAAAAAGCTGCATGTACAAGCAGCACATACAGCTAACAATTACTGCTTGTTACTCCAAAATACACTGTTTTCCAAAAATACATCAAACGTTTAGAAATGTTCAAATACATTTTTTCTCTTTTTTTAATGACTTCAGATTAAATCAGCAGATAAGAAAGTTCCACATCAGAATACCTTAATCATTTCTGTGCGCTGAGACTCTGGATCACGACCTGCCATTGGCAAAATACGAATTTTCTGGGTCTTTGAACACCTATCTGCCAGAGACAGAGTCATCTTCCTGTGCGTGGCACTGTCTGTAGAGTGTGGCCTGTTGGAGAATTGCTTTGGGTTAAATACTTATAAAAAGAATCTACCCGTTTTCAAGTGCCAATCACACAGTAGGTATACTTAAGACTTGAAAGATTAATCTACACAAAAGTAAAAGCATTACTACTACTGTGCACTGTCACAGCTACTGAAGACATCGCTTTCTCTCTCAGCACCCTGTCTACAGTCCATTATCAGCCTAAAAAGTCATTCTCACATTTCACTTCAATATCCCAAGTCATAATCATCACCCTGATAGCCACCATTCTGATTCAGATGGAGACTCACCCTTCACAATACAAACTAAAATACATTAAAAAAGTAAATGAATACATGCAGCCTTGATACGGCAGTGAATAACAAACACATCAGCCTTTCAAACTGGGACATCCAGCTTAGGAAAAATTTTTCCCAAACCCTCCAAAAATAGCACATTCTTAGCAAACTGTTGAGCTCTGAAGGCTTACTAATGGCTATCTCTATGCACTAGTTACAATACTTCATTGCACCACTTGATAGTGAACATCACGTTTACCTGAAGGTTAACTTGGTCTTGAAAACAGCCTGTCCTTGCAGACCGGTCCCTTGTCTGATAAACAGATGGTTGTGATCTCCCTGCAGCGGTGCCTTGTACACATCAAAGACCTCATTTCCCAAGTGGAGAGACATGCTTAAAGGAGATTAATGTATCAGTTACTTGATAAAGCCACTACAGTCCATTTTTTCCTCATGTGTAAACAGGAAAGCCTTTGCGTTTCCCTTTAACAAATAGCCAATAACTATATTTCACCACAAACAAAGCAGAGCAGAACATTTTCAGTGCGCTGAGACTACACTGATTTTTGTTGCTCAGAACAGTCCATCAGTTTTGCATGCTACAGGATTCCACTGTGAAAACAGGATGCAAAAAGTTCAAACCAACCTTCCATCCGACCACTTGACGATGCGGGCATTGCTTTCTCTGATCTCATTCCCTTCCTCATCTCGCCGCATCCGCCACCGTATTGTGTTTTCTACCTGTCAGAACAGCACAGCTGTTAAACTCACAGTGCAATGCTGTGGTAAAATACACCCAATGCTGGTCACGGATTACAGCTAGAAGGGTTATATAATCCGCTGTGTGATACAAAGAGATGAAGGTGAAAGGGGTGGCTCTCACAGGAGAAAGGCAGTTGTTAAGTTTTTTTAAAATTTGTTCTTTCTTTAGCATTACTAAAACTCAGCAATAATCCTCAGCAATGAAGCCATCCGTACCTTTGGAACTTAAATCACAACTCATTACACCATTACAAAACACCTGAAATAGACTTTGATGAAATGTGGTTAGGTGAGCATAGAGGATATAGACTTATACCTTAAGTTTTAATCTCGTTCTCCCTTCTTCATCAAGCATCTCCTCATCTTCAAACTCATCCTCATAATACTGGGGATCAAATGGTCTGTAATAAATTATACAATACAGTATTCATTCTTCCAGAAGTTAATCCAGATTAGTCTTGTGCACAGTAACAGGTGCTTGAAAGGTTGAAATTATACGCTGCACACAACAGGAGGCACCGCAGCTGTGAGGCAGCCATTTCTGCAGAAATGTAATTTACAGCATTGATTCTGCACTGCAGGAGGCCAACCCAAGCAGCTTCACCACCATCAATTACTGCCACTTTAACATTCACACCCTCTCAATGGCTCCAGCTAAAGAAAGCAAGTCTGCTTCAGAACAAAATGTCTCCTCAGTATCAGGATAAAGAGGTCAGGGTTAAGGCTGGAAATAAATGCAGGTAATTTTATAAGGAGGCCCACTCATTAACCTACACCCTACTGACCTATCCTCACTAAAGTGTGCACCTTAATGTTAACCATTTTAAATACAACCAATATAATTAATTGTACTACTAAAACAAAAGCAAAATATTGAAACTAAGAAACCCAACAACTTATCATCTGCATATTTAATATAGAATTACCTGGGCTCCACACTGAGAAAGTTGGGCAGCTTCACAAAGTACAAATCGTTACCCAAATCTGTGTTTACTTTTGGTATTTCTACCTCTATTCTTGTCTCTGGAATAGGCTCTTCCTCCTGCTGTTCTTGGCTCAGCCCATTCTCATCCTAATGGCAAAGAAGCACAATAGGAGCAAAAATATCAGTCTGACTGTTCCTGGAATAAGTGCTTCTATTCTGACTGAGAAAAATTCTGCTGGTATGTAGAGAGAGATCAAGAAGCTTCTCATAAATGCACTTGAACCTTTCCAATAAAACCAATCCATTTCAAAACCAAAAGCCATTTCAAATACCAGTGGGAACTCGAGAAAACAAAGACAGAAAGGAAATAGCAAGAGAGCTGACACACAGTTTTCAGCAAGGAATGAGAAAATAAGCATGGGATAAGATTAAAAAGAAATTCTTTAGTATCTTCAAGGCTCAAAATGAAAATGTTTGTCAAACAGCTGTATGTAGGGTACCAAGAAGACCTGCGAATTTGTATTTCTCTTGATGACAATCAAAATGTAATCAGTGTATTCGTTTTTCCAAATGGAAGAAGTGGAGCAGGGCTGGGGGAAGGCATGTCGACATATCTAATATTGCTGTGCCAAAAGCTCCAATCATTATTTTAGCTAGGGCAAAATGATCTGTAGATTCTTACTTAACGCTGTTAAAACTTTTTCCATTAAAATATTATCAAACCCCACTGACGTTCCAGATCTCAAAGTGGAATAGTGGTTTCATTACTTTAAAAGTCAGTCTACTCACAATAGGCTGTCCTGGAGTTGGTGGCTTGTCTTCCCCGTCGCTCCCTGAAGAAATGTCATCTGCTCCTCCAAACAGGTCCATGACATCTGCGTGTTCTGGAGGAGAAAAATTACTGTTATGAAATACACATATATGCAAACATACATGCCCCTTCATCAAACAAAACACAGAAAAAATAATCCTTCACTTTTATCACCACTTAAAATCACCTACAAAGTTTAAGAATCTCTAATTGTTATGAAGCACAGATTATTCTCTTATTCCGTAAAAAATAAAAGATCCCCCTTGTTCTGAAGCTGGAGAGTCAGTGCTTCCCTGGAAAGGCTCTATTATGGACAATCCAGGTGAAAAGTGGCAACAGACAAATCAAGAGTTAAAGTTCATCTTTTACTCAAGTAAATAGTTTTAATATACATGACAAGCAACCTCACTGCAAACTTTGGAAGTTTTACTTCTCATTAAAAGCAACATCTTCTCTTGATCAGCAAAATATCAGTGTTTCTCAGGCTCCTGTGATAAGATGCACCATGAGCTTTGACAATGGGGTGTGAACCAACACTCACAAGAGAAAAGCTCTGTCTCTCGTGGAGAAAACTGAGAGATGACAAAACTAAAGCGAAATCACCAGGAGAAATACGGCGTGTGCTTCCTCACACAGCACCTTTTCTGTGCCGCTCTGCCGCGCCCATGGCACTGCAGCTACATCACAATGTGAGTGCTATTGACTGTACCAAGTAGCACAGCAGATAAACCATGCATTAAAAGACAAATGAACCAAAAGCCAAGAAACCAATCCCACCTTTACCTTTCTGGCCTTCTGTATCACTGTCCACCTCTGAATCTGATGCAATCGGTTTCTTTCGCTTCATTCGCAAGACTTCATCTTCACTATCGCTGCCTCTTGCAGACTCTCCTAAGAAGCATAATTATTCTCAGCAGACTAAGAATTCTGCTTTACACATTTTAAAATTCCTTTTATTAATCAAGTTGTTTCAGATTAGAAGTAATTTAAACACACTGTGTAAAAAAAAAAACCAAAAACACAGTATTAAAAAGATGCCCACGTTTGAAAGTTATGTGATTAACATTTAAGACAGAATTTTTCAAGCCAATGTAAATGAAACAATGGAGAACAAACCAGGCTGTAAGAAGCAAACCATTACAACTGCACTGGATCCTACCAGATTTATGCTCCTGCTCCTCCTCATCAGAATGCTGTGCCCTTTCGTCATCATCAGAGTTCTGCATCTTCTCCTCATCGGAGTGCTGGGCTCTTTCATCATCGTCTGAGTTTTGCATCTTCTCCTCGTCTGACACCTGTGGCCTCTCCTCGTCGTCAGAGTTCTGCATCTTTTCCTCATCCGAGTTCTGGAGCCTCTCCTCATCATCAGACATCTGAGGCCTCTCATCTTCATCAGAGTTCTGTGCTTTCTCCTCATCGTCTGAGTTCTGCTGTCTCTCCTCATCATCAGAGTTCTGCTGTCGCTCCTCATCGTCTGACTGATCGCTTTTGTCCTCCTTGCCCCACTTCTCATCCTCCGAATGGGCCTTTTCTGAACCATCTCCCTCAGAATGGTGACTGCCCTCATCAGAGCCGTGTCCCCGCTCGTCCTCCTCATCATCATGAGCAGCTTCTGAAGCGCTGTGCTGGTCCACATCCGACTGATCGTTGTCTTCATGCTCAGAGTGCCCCGAAGCTTCGGAGCGATTGTACGACCTCTCGGAGTGGTTGTCGCTGCCCGTGTGATGGGAGGCTCCTTCGTCCTCGCTGTCGTCTCCGAACAGCTCCTTGTTGCTGGGCTTTGCTGCCTCCTGCTCATCATCCTGCTCGCTGTCGCTGCCCGAGGCGTTGCTGCCGGAGCCCACGTTCTCCTGGTCGGAGTCGGAATCTGAGCCAGAATCAGTATCTGCAAAACAAACACCGCCTCTCAAAGTTAAGCCATCCCTACAGGGGTCAAACAGGACACAGGCACGCGTTACCCAACAGCAGAACTACACGAGACACACAAGTTACCTACAATAAAACATCTACTGACGACGATACAAAGAACGACCACAGGTACCACTCAATATGCCCGCTATTACCTAAAGTTCTAAAGCTCTGGGAGGAATAAGCCGTTACACAAAGCAAAGAACTCAGAGGCAGTGCCCATTGCCAGGCGCTGCGTCGCCGTTCCTTAAGACGCCTGTAACCACTTTTCACCTGTGAAGAGCATGGAGCCAGCGGGCTGCACACCCCCACCCCCACCCCCGGACGGTAACCCGACCGAAGCCCGGCGTTCCGCCCTGCTTTGCGGGGGGGCCCGCGGACGGGAGGCCCGGTACACGGCAGCTAACGGCCGCACCTTTCTGCTCGGCCTCCGAGTCGGCGTCGCTGCCGAACAGCTCCTCCATGTCGGCCATGGCGGCTGCACGCGCCGGCGCCGCGCAGTGACGCGATACGGAGCGCCGGGGGCTGCATCCGGGAGGGGGAGGAGGACAGGGAGGAAGGGCTCCTCTGAGCTCTCGCCGCCCTCTTCCGCTTCCTCAGCACCGCCCTCAGCTGCAGCGCGGAGCGAGGGTTGTGCGCCCGTTGCGCGGCGCGCTGCCATCTTGTGAGGCGGGAGCTCGCAGCTAAGGGAGAACTACACCTGCACACCACGACCCTCTCCCCAAAAAGTGCATTTTAATAGTTTTCGTACAACACTTGTATGAAATATTGGATCTAAGGCCTGAGCAGCAGAGTTAGCCGGGAATATAGAAGTAAATCAGCACAGCGGTGTTAGTACGTTCAGCAGCAACACCGCACAAAGTCTGTATGGGAAATGCACCAGCTCCCTTTGTCAGCTGCCTGGCCGCCTCGTGTCACATCAACTGCACGGCTCAGCTCGGCATCACCTGCAAATTTGCTGAGGGTGCACTCAATGCCATCGTCTGTGTTACTGACAAAGATGTTGAAGAGTGCTGGTCCCAGCACAGACGCCTGGGGGGCACCGCTCCTCACCAGCCTCCACCTGGACTCGGAGCTGCTGACCACAACCCTCTGCCAGCAACCATCCAGACGATTCTTTATCCACCAACTAGTCCAGCTTTCAAATCCATGTTTGTCCAATCCAGAAATAAAAGCATGGCACAGGACCATGTCAAAGCCCTTGCACAAGTCCACGTAGATGACAGCAGTCACCTTCCCTATGTCCACCAATGCTGTCACTCCATCCTAGAAGTCTGTCGGATTGGTCAGGCACAATCTGCCCTTGGTAGAGCCGTGCTCTCAGCTCGTTTCACCTTGTGCATGCCTTAATATCTTTTTCAGGCAGATCTGCTCCATCATCTTCCCAGGAATAGACATGAGGCTCACCAACCTGTAGTTCCCCAGGTCCTCCTTTCTTCAAAGGATGTTTCCCTTTTTTCATTCATCTGGGACTTTGCCTGACAGACACGACTTTTCAAATAGGACGGAGAGTGGCTTAGCACCCACATCAGGTTATTCCTTCAAACCCTGGGATGCATGCCACTGGGCCCCCTAGACTTATACACATCCAGTCTCATGAAGCGGTCTGGAATTTGCTCTGCTCCTAGAGGGGTGGGATTTCACTCCCCCATCTCCTGCCTAGAGGTTCAGAGATACAAGAGGGATGGAAGCCTGACTGGCAGTGAGGATCAAGAAGGTGTAGAGATGATGAGCATCTCTGGCATCTTCTGTCAAACAAGGCCAGCTACAGATATGTGAACCATATAGCAGAGCTCATGTAGAGAACAAGCAGAGATCCACAGACAGCTTAGTAGTGTACTGTTATGTGCTATTTAAAAACAAGCAAAATTATACAATAGTTAATCATTCAAAAATTTTACTGCTTTACAGTCTGACAGCATATAGTGCTGATAAGCTAAAACACTCAATTCATATTTCCTCAATGGAAATTTAAATTGAATACATGCTCATTTATAGCCTACAAGCTGTAGAGATAATGAGGCTATTTTTTAAAAATACAACAGTATATAGATAATTGTTTTGGAATATAGTCTACATTTCCATGCTTATATTGGAGCCAATAGAATAAAAAATGTGTGGTTATTTGGCTTCTGCATTAAATGTGGAAAAGAATGTAGAAGAACAGTACGACCTCTTTTGGAAAAAGACCTTGCATTTATGGTAGCTAGTTATCAAAATAATACCACTTTTATGCTCAAAGTCATATACTACACTTGAAACCATTAAATCCCAACATCTAACTTCACTAAAGACTGTTTATGATTCTTAGCTACAGACTGAATTCTTTAATTTATTCCAAAATGGTTACATATACTGTAGGTACAAAAGCGTTGTAACTGTCTTAACTGTTCCATGGTCCATGCCAAATGTCTTTCAACAGTTGAGGGGAAGTTTTCTATGCTCACTGTCAGATACCTACCCTGAAAGGGCCAACAAACATTCTTAGCAGTTAACCAGTTAAGAAAGGTCCTCTACTATTGCCTATGACAGGACACCTAAGAGTTACAATTTAGAAGCCTCTACCTTTGATTGGAATATTAACCATGAAGCAGCTAAACTTGATTCTATAAAGTAATAAAGAAGAGATTTCAGCTATAATTTCCATAATCCAGCCATTCATTTTTCTCCTTCATCTTCAAGTAGGACATAAGTGCATAGTCCTGTTTGATAGCACAAAATAAATTGTCACAGAATCACAACACGTGAACAGATTTCATGAACATGCAGCCCTTCAAGAAAAGAAGGAAAACATTACAGACTATTTTTTGACACAAAATTATTATGGTGCTTGGCAAATGAGAAGTTTTAGGCAACTGAGCACATTACAGGCTTTGACCATGTTTATACATCGCTCCTATCTGTGAAAAAAAAACAAAACCAAAACCACTTAACTTGTGAGTTTCTCCATACTATGTAAGCACTCCAAATTTAACATCTGGGAAGCTCCTGACAATTCATAAAAGCCAAAACCAAAAGTAGCCTTTTTTATTGCTAGTCAGATTACTGCTGGTTGCCTCAAACTTACACTCTGTAAAGTCTTTGGTTTTAATAGAATTGATTCCAACAGCTTTTCAGAGCACACATTTATTTGTAATTAGTCAATAAAAGGCCAATTTTGAAACAGGAAAAATATGTTCTTCCATAGTTATAAACCAGTTAAATATATCTTCATTGAAGGCACCATAGTTTTGAATGTGCTGTACAGTTGCAGTAAAATTAGAAGCCACCTGCAGAATAAAGTCTGTCTGAAATCCAAGACATCATTTGCAGGAAATTACAACACAGGCACAGTGTCAGAGGATTGCTCTATTAATTTTTATAGTACTTACAACGTGATGCAAAAAAAGTTTCAGTCCTATACATTTCCTCTATATAAAAAGCTCACCGTATGATGATCTTCTGATGAAAATGGTTGTCAGTTGAGCTCTCACAAATATATTTGAGCTGTCCTTCAGAGTATTTTGTTAATTTATGGTCTCATGACAACATTAAGTAAGCTCGGTATGGTACAGTCCAAACAGGCCCACAGCAAAAAGCCCCTAGATTTGCATTATTTCCAAGATGTATACTTTGAATATGTACAGAAATTTAAGTGATTCTTGTGTCCTTATTAGTTGGCATAGATACACAGCTTGGAATAAGTACTGTACTATGCAAATTTGACACTACACATTAGTTAATTTCTCAAGTCGTAGTGTTTCAAACATCAAGCCTTTCCAGAAAGTGTTACTTCATTGTTTCATGAAAACTTACACATTTATATGAAGCACTAACAATTTAATTCAATAGCTTGTAAAAAAGGATTTTCTGTTTGCCAGGAACTTAGGACACTGATTTTTATAATTAGGTTGTTTCTCCTGAACAAAATTAGGCAAATTTAACAAAAGCTTGTCCACTACTTCTAGAGAAATTCATATTAGTTATGCATGTAGATAAGAATTTTTAAACAAAAGCTATAAACTAAATGCTGATGAGCACATGATAGTCTTAAAGTGTCCAGTTTAGACACAGAGCAAGTTATAATTCTGGGACATTTTAAAAGACTTTTAGGACTTAAGCATAGTAAGAAAAAACCCACTTTGCATGCTTTTACTTTTTCTTTTTTTTGCAAGGCTCCCACTTTTTTTTTTTTTTTCATTAGTCCCTCAAATCTCTTGGAAGAAAAGTCAATTTATTTTTGCCTGCTTTTAAGGGATGTTTACACTTAATCACAGTATCAAGAACAAATCAAAACAACAAAAAAATACAATAAGACAATTGTGAAAGACTTCCCTTCAGTGCATATGAACAAGGATGAACAGCTCTAAACAATGAGTCCAACTATTGTGTGAAGAATCCGTCACTAAAGCATTGTTCTGAAGAACATACATACCCCTTCATGTAAATGAGCACCCCTAGATTTTCTAACATTTCAGTTGGGTCATTATCTGCCCAGTGATCCTGAATGTCCCATTCTTTGACTACAGACAATTATACAATTGATTCGCGATTACATTTTTAGTAGAAAGCACAGCCAAGATCTTAAAATACAAAAAAGTTCTTTAAAAAAAAAACAAACAATCAAAAACTGGATCTGTACATGGATTGGTGTGGTTATGAAAAATGTGATGCATACCAGCAGATTATTAATATAGCTTTGCTTTAAAAGGAATGGGGTTTCCAGTCTTTTCCCTTCTAACCCAGGTAAATGCAGTCCAAGATTGCCAAAGCCCACCGTGAGGAGCGTGCTTTGAAGACCCTTGAAATCTTCACACAGTTCTAGCAAGATCTACTGGCTGTCTCCTTCAACCCTTCTCTTGCGAACTGTAACAAAATAGAAGATGTATTTTAAAATATTATTGTTACTGTCCTACATATTTCTGCACCATTGGTATGTAGTATAGCTCCCTACTTTGCTGTACAAAGGCTCATGCAGTAATCTAAAGTAATCAATATTTAATATTAGCCACCATTACACAAGAACAGATTCAAATATTTCCTATGAGAATCATATAGGAAACAATCTTTTTACTTTAAGTAAGCAGATTTAACAAGTTAGTCTTTGTTTTTATTGCCATAGTTTGCTTGGCTTTGAAAGAAACAATGTAAAACTTTCAAGAATACCCAATAAGATTTACACACATTCAAATCTGTACACACTCAAACAAAACTAAATTTAAATCCCTTTGAGATGTTATGCTCAATAGCCTACAGCATTCCATTCATTAATAAAAATATTCAGTTGCCGTAAAATGCAAAAGCAACAAAGATCCATGAATAAAACCACCAACGCTCACATGCTGCTCTGGCTTTACGCAGGATTCACTGAATGCCTTCAAATTCTCCAGTCATGCAGTTAAAGGCAATATTCACGTGGTTACAGACAAGGAAGGAAGGGGAAGTAGGACAGCACAGTGTAGACAAAGGAGAAAGGTGCAGACTTTTATTTTCAATATAAAGAAGTCACATACAAAGACAACTGAAAGGCTGAGCATC